CTGCGCAATAAGCTGCTGAACTATGTCAAGAATCTTTGTGGAAAGAAGAGAATAGCTGCCACACATCTGTTTGTTTTTATGATTGCTGGTGAGTCCTGCAACATGAAACCATATGCTGTCCCTGTGAGAGTCCTTCCATTCAAGTCTGTCATAGACAAGAAAGCTAGAGAATTAGGAGAACTTCGAAATGCCATGACATCGATGGCAATGCCAGTTGTTGGTAAGATGTGCATGAATAGTACATGTAGTTACTCCAAATTATTTGTTTGTATCAGCTTACTTTCTTATGTAAGGTCGTACTATATATGTGTTGCTTCATTTTGTGAACTGTGTAATTTGTTAATTAATTTGTGGCATGGTTAGAAAATTGTCAAAAGTTAACACATGAATAATGATAAAGAAAATGAAGCCTTGGAGCCAAATGGCTCATGGCTGCCGGAGCTTATCCTGGTTTCTGTATCATGAAGTGCCAAAGAATATTCCTAATCCCGGTAGATGGGATGCTAGTGCATGGCAGGTCACTCCCCACATTTTGTTAGCTTTACCCGACAATTTGACAGTACCCATTTATATGCCTTGGTGGACAGAGGCACTGTTACAGTAAAGTGTCTTGCACAAGAACACAACAGTGTCCCTGGCCAGGGCTTGAACCTGGACCACTTGTTCTGGGAATGAGCGCACTAATCATGGGGGCACGGTGCCTTCCCAAAAGACTTAAAATTGCATCTATCAAGTCAATCAATCTAACATGGGCATTGTCTCTTTTATAAGGTTTTTCATTAGTCCAATTCCCTTTTCTCAAGTCTTGGATCATAAACTCGTGCACAATGATCACTGTTGCTATTTTTTGGTTTGTCAATTTTCTTTATCCAGTATAATAATTTTCCTTCACCAGGATTTGTAACTGATGGAGAATTCAGTTCACTTCGTACCATGGGAAATTCCAGACCCATTTCCATTATCCAACTTATCAGTGATGCAAGAGCTGAGACCCGTTCCATGCCCTCTCGCCGCATAGAAAGTTACTTGATTTTAGGCAGAGATGGTGCGTTATCTATTTTGTCATATCATAAACTTATTGTACATGTGCACTCTTAAAATCCATGTAGTCCTAATTTGCATAGAATTCACTGCTTAAGTTTGTAGTACCAATCATTAGTAGGATCATACATAGCCAGTAGTGTATCAGGATTGTTCCTTCATTTACATACATATACTTTTTGTCCTTTTAAGGAAATCCCATTGCCCATCATCCTTCTATTCCCCTGGAAGATGTGCTATGGCTCCATGATGTGATAAACAGTGGTGTTTTCGAAGATGCTATTTTCGAACATGCTATTTACCTCCTGCAGCGCTGGTTCTTCTGCATAGTCATGATCCACATTCCTGGATGCCAGGTGTGTGTTTAAGTATCATTTTAAACTTTTTAGATATTTAAGCCATGTTATGACCATCTTGCAGAGTTATAACATTTCGCTTCGTATTATTTTACCTTGACTTATTTGAAAACACAATTTTTATTCTAAGCACCAAAGATGTGATATTAAACCAAAAAGGAGGAAGATAGTTACCCACTGCATGAATCAACAGGAATTGCAAATTAGAAACTATACTCTTTTTTAATCATTTTGTTACTTAGCTTTTGAACTTTTTGTAAAAAACTTTTGGCATATGCTATCAGTTTATGCACAATGATATGAGATTGAGNACACGTCTTTACACAAAAAATCCATGCAAACTTAAATTACTTTACATTTCACCAGTCATTAAAGTTGAAGTCCTTACTGCATCGAACAATTTGAGTTCGCTTCGAGTGGATCGCAATTTGTACTCCTCACCCCCGGAATACACGTCAGTGTAGGGGATAGTGAGAGTAGACCTTATCCCTACTAGGGGTGATTTAGAGGTGATATTTCATGCCTAAAACTATGTCGAATGTGTAGATAGTGGTGAAAGAAGCAGGCTAGATTGGTGGCCTAAATATGGGATCGAGAAATCCAGGTGAGAACTTTGTAAAAGCCATTGCAAACGATCGTCAACCAACACGTGGTGTTTACATAGGGGAGACACGCAAAGAAAGTGATCCATGGCTGATCGCATTGGTTTAAATCAATCAATCAAGCTTTATTTAACGGTATCACTACATTAAAAATTAAAAATGCTCTTCCAGTGGGCCGTTTTCATAACGAAAATTTTTAAAGAAACTACATTACTGCTAAAATATTTCTACATATTAAGAAAATCTATCCTATAATTAATTACTCAAGAATCAATCAACCTTAAGGGTACATTAAATAACTAAAGTAAATTCAATCTCAATTCCCTCAAGGCAATCCATTTGAGCCAGGCTGTTCAGTCTCGTCTTCTTGCATTGTTGAACTCATTTATGTTTATGTATAATGATTAAAATTTCAAAAGAAAAGTTATTTTCAGCCTCATTTAGAATCAAAAGTTTAAAAGAAGGACAACTATTGAGTATTAGAATAGACTTGCATCTTTGTAAGCTAATTACAAAAGCTGGTTGTTTTTATTTCTTTAATTTCAGTTCTCTGTGCATGAAAAAGAAAAGCAATTCTTAAAAATAAGATGATCATTAAGGAATATTAATAATATTGATTAACTTTCTTCACCTTAGATTCAAGAATTAGATCACATATCTCAACATGTGATTATATCAATTCTTTCCCTCTACTAAAACATTAATCAGAGGTTTAGAGGAAGTGTGTAATATGGACCAATAGAAGTAAAAGGTCTCGGAAAGAATTCCTTTAAGATATTTTTCCTTGATTTTCTGTCAGCCCATACTTTTTCACAGTGTCAGAACAAAAGACTTGACAATTGTGTAACTTGAAAAGTGACGTCATAGAAACCGGTTTAGACCAGTTAAGGGAGCGTTGTAGGGAGAAGACAAGATTGCGAACATACTGTCTAGTGTGATGTAAATATATAAATGTGTTTAAAAGCTAGCTGGTGTCAAGAAATCACTGCGACAACAGAAACTAAAAAGGGACAATCCAAACATAGTTTAAAAATTAGTAGAAACATTTAGAATCACTATCTCTCACACATTACTTTTTTAAAAGTGGTCAAATATAAATGGAGAAAACAATTTCAAATCCAGGTTTAATTCATAGATCCACACAAATAACTTCCGGAAAATCGAAAACAGTTTACTTTCTTAGAAT